GAGGGTTTTTTTTTAAATTATGTCATGCCCCCCCCCGGCTAGGCAGTCGCTGGTGCTCCCTCCCTTCTCCGCTTCTTCATCCTGCTGCTGCTGGTGGTAGTGAATAAGGAGCCGGAGGGGGTTATGGCCGGCGACGAGGGCTCATGCGCCCCTCCTCTTCAGAGCCCCAGCCAGGCTAAGGAAACTCCTGGGTGGCTTCCTCAGGCTTTTGCTCCCCTTGGTGGAAAATCTGATGCGGCCCAGCCTCACCCAGGCTCTGCCTCCAGCGGCCCCCAGGTAAATTGAGTTTGAGACCCCTGGTCTAGTGTGATTGCCAGAATGCAATTTGAGCCATTTTCCCATGAACCAAGATAGGAGCGTACTATGGATCAACCAAATCCTGAAGAGAGATTCATTTTCATTCATTGTAGGCAAAACAAGGAGGTTAAAAGTGAAGGAGCAATTAATTCCCAAGGCCTCTTAATGGGGATGAATTGCTCTTTTACTTTAATTGCTTTATGCTGTTCACAGTTAGGGAAACTGACTGATTTTTTAAAGAAAAAAACAACTGGTGTTCCTGAGTAAAGCAGGATAGGATATCTGATCCACGCTTGCAATTCTGCATATATAGCCAGCAGTTAGTCATTGGTCCAGGTTAAATATGTATTCTAAAACAAACTGCCCTTATAGTTTTATAGTTTTGGATTTCTCTTTTCTGTCCGTAGTCGTCATCATCTTTGAATCGGAGAGCCTTCCTGAGTTTTTTTTGTCTGTGAAACCGAAGTTCCCTTCCTTTCCTTTCCCTTCCCTTCCTTGAATGGTTTTTTTTTCCTCCCCATGATCTCTTCTGGAAAATCCCACAGGAGTCTGTTGCATAAGCAAACCAAAACAAACCCAGAAATCTCTTGAGGGCTTGAAACCTGCGCCTGGAACAAACACAGTAGCTAAAAATACTACATTCAGTCAGAACAAGAGTGGGCCACTTGGTGCCTGAGGGAGCCAGACTGTGGGAGGGGGAAGGGAAAGCACTGAGTTTTTCTCTCACGCTTCTGTTTTTGAAGCGGTCCAGGGAGGTGAGTCAGTTTTATGCATCACTTGCAAGTGTTGCCATAAATGACTGCAAGGTGACCGTTGTCAGGGTGTAGGAGATAGCAAGTGACAGAAAGAGGAGGTTGCTTTCCACCCTGAATTGGGAGAGGGAAGGGACAAAGAGAGGTTGAGAGGAAAACAAGACAGCCTTGGTCACTGGTTCCCAGCTTTGGGATCTCTGCGTGTGTCAAGATTCTGGCCCTGACAGGGAGGACCACACAAACCACTCAGCGACCCTACCCAGATTTTCTTGGTGTGGGTGCTTTCCGGGGGGGGGGTGTAGTGTCTCCTGTCTGGTCCTCCTCCCAACACTGTGAGCTTGTCTGGCCCCTCAGTGCTCCAGGGAGTCGCCAGAAGTCACAAGGCTGCTTGCTTGAGTCCAGAAACCAGTTTTGCAAACTAGGAATACCAAAATACCTACAAGATGTTCCGGATCCCTAGCTGAGGCACTTTCTTCATTATCTGTCTTCTTCTCAGAGTGATCAAACAACTGAATTTTATACTTTTTTTAAATTAAAGATGATGCAAAAGAAAATAAAAGCTCAGAAACCATTTCGGAACGTCAAGGAAAATTGAACAGATGTGAAACAAATCCATTTCCCAAAACTTAAGAGGCTAGACAATTCTAGAAGAGTTCCCACAGAGAACAAAAAACACTAGCTAACCTACAGTATACTAGTGCTTACAACACAGATAGCAACATAGTTCCAGAGCATAAGCAGAGTGCAGCAGAATAACTGGTGAGCATAGCATTCTCCTAAGAGAGACTAGGCTGAGCTGCTCTGTTCATTGTCTGGAGCTACTTTTAGACCCTTCATCCAACCTTCTTGATCTTTCGATGCCATTGTACAAATCAAATCCGAAGTTACCTTCAATCTTTAAGAAGGGAGTAACTTTTCTGCAAAGTAATTTGGCTCACCTCACTCTTTCCCCTATGTGTGAGCTCCAGCTGGAACAGGTTTCATGCAGTTATCTTAATGCAAGGAAAGAGAAAGCTTGACCTGTAACAGGGTAATTGGACTTGATTTTGGACTTTCTCCCAGAAGCCCCAGTAGCTTAGCCCTAGTCCTCCTTTGGCATTTTGGTTTTGATTTTTTTTTCCTCCCAAATGTTTCTGCTTTGGTATTTTGCAAAACTGGGAATTCCTCCAAACGATGCTACCTTTCACTTGTGCACGGATGGGCATTGTTTTGTTTACATAAAGACAAAGCCTTGGGAAATTGAGACGGATGTTGTTAGCAATAAAGATACAACTTGTCTTGTCAGCCATGCAATTTGGCCTGGAACGTCTTGACAAAATGGCAGTTAAGAAAGGAGAGTGTGCAGCTCAGTGGCCAGGTATCTCATTTGGGTGCAGAAGTCCTGAGTTCAGTCCCTGGCATCTCCAGGTAGGGCTGGGAAACCTCCTGCTGGTACCCCCAAGGGAGCTGCTGCCAGTCAGAGTTGGTAGTACTGAGCCATAGATGGGCCATTGGTCTGACTCAACCTGAAGCAGTGGGCTCTGTTCTTAAGAAGCATTTTGAATAAAGTAGAGCTACCCTTGTTTTTTCACTTCTGGCTTCAGCCTAGCAGTTCTAGCCTTGTAAAACTGTCCAGAGTTTGCCTGAGGGAACTGGCATTCTGCTGACGGAAGCAAAGGTGCCAAAGGATTTGCATTTAAACTAGGGACCAGTCAAAGATCTAGTAAAAGAGCAGTCCTCATAAGAGAACCATACCTCAAAGAGCACAGGCCAGAGGCGCAAAAGAGTTGACCCCACACTTAAGCACTTTAACAGAGCAATTGTATGTTTTTTCTCAAAAGCAAGTCAGTTTTCACTTCTGAGTCCCAAGGAAATTCTAAAATATGTGCGGGGCCAACCCAACGAACATCAAAATGCATGCACACTTTAGAGACCTGCAGATCTCATAATCAGATGACATATTACAAAAAGCAGATGGGTTATGGGGAGAACGGAAGAACTGGCATTGATATTATGGTGCCTGCACAGTGTCGTGAGATGTAATGGAGGTGGAAGACTTGGCAGATGTTCAAATGAGGCTCTCTACCAAACAATAGCTTTAGATTTTACCTGGAGTAACCTTTTGGCATGTTGAGAACAAAAAAGGCTGGGAAATTTTGTTTCTTTTTGGAAATATAAAACCTAGCCGTAAACTCAGCACCATCTCTGTCTTAGGTGAAACTTCCAGACTTCTTTGTTAGTGGAAAACAAAGAGCATCTAGGCATCCCCTGACACTGATTTTGGAATTTTACCTGATGGCCAATGTGGTTTCCTCTGCTTTTTGTACATGGTCCATGTAAGAGGATGGAGATGATAACTACTAATGTCTAAAGGCTAAGGACACCCCTAATGTCTCTGGACTCCATTAATCTTTAGATGAGTTCGAGAGGATACGGAGAAGAAAGCTGACTGCAGTGGAGATGGTTTCATCATGCATGAAATAGCTTCATTCCCCATCACCCAACATGATAGCCTAGAATCTAGATGAATATATACATACAGTTTCCTCTAGATCCTCTGAAGTCCATAAGCTAGCAGAATAGTTGTAGGGAAGGCAGAAGAGGCTTTGTTATCCCACAGAAAATGCCATCTCCCTTTTAGGGAAGACTATTTTTTAAAGGAAGGTGGAGGCAGGAGGACATTTCTGCTTCATTTCTCATTGCATCTGGTCTACTGCTGATAACCCTCCAGGGCACAATTTTTCCATGTGAAGTTTTCTGATAAGTGACGTGGTTTGTTCAGCAATTTGACTGGAGCGCTATGCCTCCCTGCTTTGGTGTAAGCTCTAAATTGGATCCCAAACACTGTGTTTCCCCCAAAATAAGATCGGGTTTTGTATTCATTTTTGCTCCAAAACATGCATTAGGGCTTATTTTCAGGGGATTTTTTTTCATTGACAACAATCTACATTTATTCAGATACAGTCATGTCATCTTCTGGTTGCTGCACAGTGGTGGAGGGCCGGGTTTTACTGAACTGGGGCTTATTTTTGGGGTAGGGCTTATATTACAAACATCCTGAAAAATCGTATTAGGGCTTATTTTCAGGTTCATATTTGGTAGTATGCAATACTGCTCTCTGCTGGGCATGTTTTGAATTTATTAAGAAAGGGATACAGTTCCAGCATGAACTGAGCATGCTCAGTTGCCAAAGAAATTAACTAAGTTGGAGGAAGAATGAAGATGGAATGGGGGCACATGAAATGGAGTATCCTAGAGAATGGCATACCTGTCTGGAACCCCTAAACCAGAACGTTACTTTTCAGAGATGAGAATACCTTGCAGTATTTATTACAGGACTTATGCGCATGGTCGATATCTATATGTATGTCTTTTTTGGTGGTTCATGGCAGTTTGTGTTTTAGCCGAACAGGTGTTCTGCACTTCCCAGCTGTGCCTCCTCCAGCAGGCGCCCACTCAGAGGCACCACTCGGAGGAGGAGGAGCAGGGAAGCCAGGGTGCTGCCTCTGAGTGGGTGCCCACCAGAGGAGGTTGAGCTGGGACATGCTGAACACCTGTTTGGCTGAAAAACAAACCAGCACAATCCACCGGTTCGTCAGTTCATGCCCATCTCTACTTGTGATTAATATTGTTTATCTCATTATGAAGATAATCCAGACATTTTAATTGGACTGCTTCCTACTTACGGAGTTTGGTGAGCTGCAGCTCTGCTGATGGGCAGCTATAGCTGTGGTCTTTTGTCCCCGGCCTTTCACAGAAAGTGCAACCCTCTCAGATACGGGTTTTGTATCTCTATCCTGCTGATGAGAGCCCTTTCCCCGGCTAGTGTGACAGTGACAGTCAGCAGGTGAGAATGTATTTACCTTTCTTGCTTGCTTGCATTTCTTCTCCAGCTATGCTGGCGGACACCTTTCGGGCACTGCGATTTGAAGTCCATTGTCACCTGTTCCTGAATGTGGATTCCATGGTGCGTGAGTTGCACACGGCAGCGAGACTGAAAGAGCACAAAGACTATGACTGCTTTGTTTGTATCCTGGTCAGCCGAGGAGACCATCAGAACATCTTCTGCACAGACCAGCTCGTTCCAGGGTTTCCGCTGGAGAGGGTGAAGAGCTTTTTCACTGGCGGCATGTGTAATGATCTCTTAGGAAAACCGAAGCTCTTCTTCATCCAGAACTATATTGAGTCGGGAGGTTGGCAGGACGATACTAGCCTGGTCGAGGCAGATGGAGACCTGTGTACGATCCCGCAGGTAGCAGACATTCTCTGGAGCCAGAGTATGGTGGATGCTTCTGCGTTAGAGAAATCACCCGGCTCCTCTTCGTACTATCTGACGGCTCTGGCCAAGCTTTTGACTGACCCGCACAAAAGGTAGGAAAAGGTTTTAGAAGCGGTTCAAGATCATTCTCTTGATTAGGCCTGAAGAAATGTGGAGTTGGGTGCAGGCCATGGAACTTAGTTTTCACTTCAATGTAGAATAAAGTATTGAGAATAAGGATAACCTATGCAGATTTTCATGTGACATGAATTTGTTCATGGTAAAGAACACAGGTTCCCTTTGAATGGAAATTGTGGGATGCTTGGCTGAAAATCATAATGTGTTTCTTGCCCATGAGTACAAGGCATCCCTGTTCTCTTCTGTGACTTTCCAGAAGTCAGCAGGTGGGCCTTGCACCTCAAGGGCTTTAGAGGGTAGCCATTGTGTGGTTTGAACAGGCCCTGTTCCTCATGTCGGAAGGAAGCCAAAGCAGAAATCTGTTGTGCAGTGGGAAGTACTTCTGCACAAATGACCCAACCCTTCTAACTCAGAGCAGATAAAAGTTCTGTGGTTTTTTTTTAGTTGTTGGAGGGAACCTTTGGTATTTTGGAGATTTTGGACTAAGGTTCCCACAGTCTCCTGCCATTGGCCTTCTTGGGTGAAGCTGCCTGGATTGTAGGCCAAACCCAAAGCTTCTACAGTACGTGCTTTGTCCTGCAATACAATAAGATCAAGTAAAATGAAATGAAATCTCCTTACGTGGAGGGCAGAGCCATCCTGAATGCCACAGCTCCCTGAAGTGTGCTCTGTTTAAGGCACTGGAACTTTATTTTGAGTATGCATGATTTAAGGTTTAACCAGTTCAGTGGGTAATGCTTGGGAACATGTTACAAAGAAGACGCAGGCAAGTAATACTAGAAGTTGTAGAGTCTGTTGACACTGCTGGTGATTAGCTCAGTGGGTTGAAGTTCATGTCTGCAGAGCCAGGGGCAGGAGTTTGAATCTCCACTGGGCCTCCTGGGAAAGGGGGCATCGGAGACCAGCGGGGGGCTTGTGTGTGGATGGTGGTATTACGTGCACTGCCACCTGCGTCGTCTTGGGCAAGGAGCGCGGTCCTGCTGTGCCACCAGAAGGAGGGACTGGTAAACCTCGCACCTGAGCACTTGAGACCTACAAAACCCTGGGAGGCTTGCGACAGGTCAGAAGTGACTTGGCAGCACATGATCATCATCATCATGATGATGATGATCTTTTCTTCAGTATTTGAAACCTCTGTGTTTTTTTTTCTCTCCACTCCTAGTGACTTGGCAGCACATGATCATCATCATGATCTTTTCTTCAATATTTGAAACCTCTGTTTGTTTGTTTTTCTCTCCACTCCCGCCCCTCTTCTTTTCCTTACAGGAAATTTCCTCTGCTGGATATTCTTGTGGAACTGAACAACAGAGTTTATGAGAGGAATAGGACTAACCCAACAGAGCTATATTCTCTTTTCTTGAAGCACACCCTGAGGAAAAAACTCTTCCTTTCTACCAGTTAAACATCTAAGCCTTTACCTGAGATAGGTATGTCCAACAGATTCCTTTCTTGCGGAGATAATCATTCACTGGCCATCCATGTGTAGTCAGAAACACGTTGTGCCTTTCAAGCCGCTAGTCCACATAAGGCACTTCAGATCTGTGCCTACAGTGCACTACTCTGCTTTACCAAAGTATAAGTGTCCATGGTAAAGATGCACTGTCTTTAAAAAACCCAAAAATAAAATTCTTGCCTTTTAAAGACATTAAGATTTCCTTCAAAGAAGTATATTCCCTTCAGCCAGTTTGGAGTCAAGGGTTATACACCTATATGATGCCCCACTCATCAGTCTCAGCGCACCCAGAGTGAGCCAGAGGTAATGGAGGAGCAACAGAGAAATGGGGGACTTGGCCAAATCGAGTCATATATGATATAAGGAAGTACCACTGCTCAGTCAGAGGGGCTCCTGGCAGAAAAACCATTGGCCACAAGAACGTAGAAAGAGGGACATCGTTGAGGCTTGCTTTTGTAACCATGCCGTTTGTAGATTTTGAAAGTCAGAAGGTCAGTGTTCTCCAGGCTAGTGCCCTCCAGATAGTTCATCATCCCGGAGGCCATACTGGTTGAGATTACTGGAGTTGTGTTGCATGCAGCATGTCTAGATGGCACTAGGTTAGGGATGTTTGATACAGAAACACATCAGTTGGAATTGTGTGTATATAATTCCAAGGCAGACTCCAGGATTCGGCATCCTTTCTCACTCTGAGTTTAGCTCTGCCTCTACCACCACGGGCCTGTTGCCAGATTTATTAAGAGAGAATCCCTGGGTGATTGCTTTAGTCGGTTGCTCTGCCTTTTACATCTGTTATTTAAGTGTAAGAGAGGGCGTAGAGTGTAGCTCTCTACCTTATGTGGGCAAGCAGTAGACCTCCGGTAGAATTGGGGCGCCACTGTTGGATTTGTGAAAGACTAAGCTCTTGTAGGTCTGTGATAGTTTGAGGAAGAATACTGAAGCAGCTCTTTGGGGACATGTGAATTTGCTGTTAAGTTATGGGGTGTCAGAAGTATATTTTTGATATGGGATTGCATCAGAATTTGTGTTCTGTTGGTGATTGCTTTGACAGTGTTAGGCGTTATGATTTAAAGACCCTGTTATGGCCATGTTATGTTATGTAATTATGCCTGCAGAAGGCAAACAGTGTAACTTGTTGCACCTTCTCCGTGAAAGTTAACAAGTCTCTGCTTGAATTTTTTGAACATTTCCTTAAGGTGGGGGAGGATGACAAGGTGAGTTTTCCGACCCATTCACCTTGGCAGACAGGATCTTAAAGTCAGTCTTTTTTTGAGCTCCTGGCTCCCTCTGGTGGTGAAGACAACCCCAAGAATTCATTCTTAAATTCCAGTCATTTGCACGTGGTGCCTTGTTTTAGTTTTGTGTTTTCTTTTTCCTTCCAGTTCTAACAAAAGATACTTCCCCCCCCTTTATTCTTTCCTTATTCCTTATTTCAGCTCTAACAAAAGATACTTTTTTTCTGTATCCGGAAATTTGTTTGTGAAGAGTTTTTCCCTGTTTTAAATTAGATCTCCACAAACCCAATTGCTCTCAAACTGCCTGAATACCTTTTACATGTATATCCCACTTTTCAGGCAGAGTTTAGCAATTTTGCTTTTATATTGCCACTCCCAAGAATTCTTAGCCAGTTCTGGGGATTATTGTTCAGAAAAAAATAACTTTTATAAGCTACATTCTTCTGTGAAGACAGTAATAAAAATAGCTGCCTGATACAGTAGTTATCCAGAATAACTGCAGCATTATTAACTATCTGGTCTCCTTTTTTTTTTTTTGAAGGAAATTGAAATTTTAAAAATTGTTTCAGCCTTTTAAATCATCACTATACTAGCTTCATCTCTGCACTACAACATACGATAATAAATTTGCCTTTAAAAATTGAGCAGATCCATAATCTTCAACAGGATTTAAAACAATGCAGTGGCTACATTTATACAAAACGCTAAACCAGGTTTCTGGAGACTCCGGCCCTACCATAAACGATTTGAATGCTTGTTTGTGCACATAACCTTCTTGGATTCACTCGGCTATTCTCACTTGTGGTTTCCCAAGGACTTTTATAATTCCTGTCCTGCATTTGTAATTTGACATGAAAATGCACAAAAGCATAAGGAGGGCTGAAAGATATCTTTAAGCATATGGGAAACCAAGGGCCTGGGTCTGAGTGCACCTCATTCTGCAGAAAGGACTCTGGGTCACAAGTATCTAAGTGGCTTGCCCTATGAAACTCATTAGTGTGTAGACAACTGTCTGTCTGTCCTAGGGTTGCCTGCACTGTGGCCTTTCATGGTTCTAGGCAGGTTTCTTCCTTCATGCTCTCCAGACATGCCAAAGACTGAATCTTGGACCGTCTGCACGCCAAGCCTGTGCTGTGCATCCAGCTGGAAATAGTTACTTCCCAGGATAACGACTCCCAGACTTCCCCAAATGACTGCCTGGGTGATTCTGGGAATTGTAGTTCACATAAGAAACTTTCCGAAGCTCTTGTCAGTATAAAATATTAATGTTTGCTTTGCTTGTTTAGTATTTTATCCAATAACAAATACTGGAGCAACTGATATACAACAAAAGCCACATGAAGATATGTACCTTGCCGGACAAACAAATATTACAAATATTGTAATCTACTCTGCTCAAAAGTGGGGGGATTTTTCATGTCACTGTATTTTTATTAAAATACTACACGTAATAGTAATAGTTATAGCTCTGTGTTAGAACTGCAGAGCTGCAAGGGACCCTCTGGATCATTGAGTCCAGCCCTTGTCAAGGAGGCACAGTGTGGGAATCAAACTCCCAACCTCTACCTCCACAGTCAGATGCCTAAAACCACTGAGCTATCCAGCAATTCTAGCATTATCCCTCTCGTCTTTATGGGACTTATTATTAAATAGTAAAATTCTCTATTAACAAGCCTTTAAAAATAATACTTTTTTAAGTTTATTTTTTTTTGTCCAGTTTTGTCTATTTGCTCATATATGTCTTTGAATAAATAAGTAAATAAATAAATAAATAAACAAACAAATAAATAAAAAAAAATACTCCCAGCTCATGGCAATGACCTTAAGAACTCAATATTTCCCCAACCTTGGTGTCTCTAGATGTTTTCTTTGGAGGAAGTATTAAACCATAACCAGCTGTCTCTAGCTGACACAGGACCTCTTCAGAGATGACTGTGGAAGTATGTTGCTGATTACCTGCCACCAGTAATTCTTAAATATTAGCTAGTGTTTCAATATTAGACCAGTGTCTAGATACAGTGGTGCCTCGTATTACGATTGCCCCGCATTATGACAAAACCGCATTACGACAATGTTTTTGCAATCGCAAAACGATGATCTAAATGGGCTTGTTTCGCTTTGCGATGATCGGTTCCCTGCTTCAGGAACCGATTCTTCGCAAAACGACGATTTTTCTACAGCTGATCGGCGGTTTCAAAATGGCCACCAGATAAATAAAATGACTCCCCGCTGTTTTCTGGGACGGATTCCTCACAAGACAGCCACCGAAAATTGCCGCCCTATGGAGGATCTTCCCTGGATGGTGAGTTTCCAGCCCATTGGAACGCATTGAAGGGGTTTCAGTGCGTTTCAACGATGTTTTCGTTCTACTGCGATTTCGCTGGAACGAATTAACATTGTAATGCGAGGCACCACTGTATCAGTAGTGGATTAGATGAGGGTGAATAAACTGAAACTCAGGTTTCAGCTCTCCAGGAGTGCCTTTTCACAGTTAAAACTAGTATGCCAGCTGTTCCTGTTCCTGGAAAGATCTGATCTGGCCAGTGACACACATCTTACTGGATTACTGTAATGTGCTCTATGTGGGGCTGCCTTTGAAAAGTCTCCAGAAACTCCAACAGGTCCAAAATGTTGCAGCCAGATTGTTAACTGGGGCTGGTTACAGGGGTCGCATAACTCCCCTGTTACAGCAGCTCCACTGGCTGCCAGTCCATTTCTGGGCACAATTCAAAGTGCTGGTTTTAACCTCTAAAGCCCTAACTGATTTCAGTCCAAGTTGTCTTGTTCTACAAGCCTTCCCAGCCATTAAGATCATCAGGGGAGGCCTTTATCTTGGTCCCACTGCCTTCATAGGTGCACTTGGTGAGGACATGGGAGAGGAGAGGGCCCTTCTCTCCTCCCAGACTCTGGAATTCCTTCCCAGGGGAGGCCAGGCTGGCTCCATCATTGCTGTCCTTCTCTTGAGACAGGCTTTTCATTCGTGGTACTGTCTAAGAGAAGTGTTAAAATGAATGTTTGCATTTTATTGCTTCTATTTTTTATTAATGCTTTACCTAAAATTCATAATATGTTATTAATTCATTTAATATTTGAACAATTCAGTTTTTAGATTGAATATCATGTTTTAGTGCTATAAGCCAACTTGGGTCCTTTCCTAGAAGAAAAGGCAGGGTAAAATATAAACACACACCAGATTCTGTTTTAAAAATGCGTATTTGAGGTGATGGGACAACTGAAGTTGTGGTCTGTGATGAAGTATTCCCAGATGCTACCAACACATGAGGCTGTGTGGTGCAAAGGTTAGAGTGCTGGACTAGGATTCAAATACCCAGTTGGCCATGAAAATCACTAGGTGACCTTGGACCAGTCACACACACTCAGCTTGATATAGCTCACAGGATTGTTGGGAATGCAGAGGTAGGTCGGAAATAAGCCCAAGCCCTTCTCTAGAACTGGAGGGTATACAGTATTTGTTCCATCAAAACTGGGACGCAGAGCATTGTGTTTTTCTAGTTGACCTATTGTCTCCAGGTATGGGTTTCCCTATGCACGGAAAGCAGGAAAGTAAAAGACAGTGTGATAGCCGGAGACATTGATCCCAGAGGCAGTAGTAGCCAGGGCTGCTGCTAAGATTTAGAGACCCCAAATAGTGTGAGTAATGCTGCAATAAGTAATGCTGTGAGCTGTACAGACCCAAAATAGTGTGAGTAATGCCGCAAACCTTCCTGGGAGTAATTGCCATTAAATTCCATAATATGAATAGGTTGTACATGGCTAATTTTAATTATTACAGTAAAGAATAGATCCACTGAATGTAATAGAGAAAAGCAAGAACTATACTGCAGGAAGTACAGTGTTTCTGGTGCTACACAGTCAGTATCAGGTCTCCCACTGGTCAGCAATTTTGGAGTACCAAAACAGGAATAGTGTTAGCGTGATTCTTTTTTCACTGAAAAAAAGGGATGGTGGTTTCAAGCTTCAGCAAGCATAGAGATAGCTCTGGAAAATCCTGCAGTTTAGAGATTCCTGCTACTTCCCAGATTAGGATATGTGGCAGTGGTGGTTATTCCCTATGGAGAGAACACAGAGGGTAGTAGTCTGTGGGCCTAGAGGTTGTATCAGGAAGTATGTTTCTTCAGTTGGGTGTGAAGATGCAGGGGACAGGAGAACTACATCTGTTACATCTCAGAAACTGGGTCCCTTGTGCTTTCAACTGAATCATGCAGGGAGCAGAAATGGTACCTCCAGAGGACAGGGAGACACCAAGAACCAGGGACAAGATGCATCAGAAACAGCTACAGCAATCCATCAATAGATTTAGACATGGGGGGGAGGAGCAATATAGAAGAAGCTGGAGGGAATGACCCATGTTTACAAATATTGCTATATTAATACAGAAAGCATGGAAAACAAAGATTATTTCATGGGCATTACTCAAACCTGGTGGGATGAAACCCAGGAATGGAATATGACCACTGAAGGGAGATCCATGATCTGGAGCACAGTACATGGGGGAGAGCTTTCAGGTAAAAGTCAAAGGAGAGGCTAAACAATAATACCATCACTACAAATATCAAGCCAGGCTGGACACTTGAATGATGCTTTCTTCAACCAGATTACCAAACATTCAAAGAAGTGATATATAAGAGAAATGGGAGATTTATCTACTCTAATTTCTGTGGGAAATCCATTGCTGGCAAGAACAAAAGATCCCAACAGTTTTTTTTACTTGCCTTGCTGACAACTTCGCGTTCCAGAAGATGGACAAAGCCACAAGGGGACCAGCTGTCTTAGACCTGTCGTCATTAATAGCGAAGAACTTAAAAAGCCAGTGACGCAGAGAGTAAGAAGCTTGGGTAACCACATCCTGTTGGGATTCATTATACAGGACTGACAAAAAGCAAAGCTGATGGTGATACAGCATACGTTCTGGACATTTAAGAAATCTGATTTCAATGAACTTTAAAAAAAGAAAGAAAACTAGATGAGATCCCAGGGTCAGAAATATTCTGAAAGAAGGGAGCTCAAAGTGTGTGAGGGTTTCTAAAAAGTGAGGTGCTAAAGGCTTAATCCCAAGTGCTTTCTGAAAGAAAAGTGGAATGCATCTGCTCCAGACTGCAGTGTAACTGCCTAGGGGAGTTTGGGGTGACTTGAGGCTTAAAAGGGGGTGTGGATAGGAAAGGAGGAGTTGCCAGTCACCAAGGAACAGTAAACCTGTATTTGTAGGGAGATGGCCAGAAGGGATGAGCTCAGACTTAACAAGAGAAGTTGAAACAAAGAAAGAAGGGTTTCAGCTATGCTTGGAACAAGATGATGAACAAGGTGGTAGGTCTGTGGGGAAAGGGTGGAGCGATGTTAATGAGTAAAAGTGGGCTTTCTCAACATCTAATTTACCTGAGCGTTCATCCAAAAGGAAAACAATCATCCACCAGGAGAAAAAAAAATATCACTTATGTTGTCAGATTGCTGTGGCTCAAGATAAGTTAACTGGTACAGGAACACCTGGCTGCGGTACTTTAAACGAATTAAGGCCCGGGGGGGGGCAGATGAACTCTATCCATGGGCACTCTAGGGACCTTTCAAGGGTAGGCCCGAGATCCTCAGTCTGCAAAAAAATCTGGAAGAACAGGTGAGGCCCTGAAGACCGGCAAATGTCTCCATCTTCAAAGACAGGAAGAAAAAAGGATTTGGACAACTACTAACCCATCAGCTTCACCCTGGTTACCAGGGAAGTTTCTAGAACAGATAACTTGAATTATTGGATTGCGAGGGACTTAGAAAAGAACACAGCGAGAACTAGGAGATTTCCAAAAGGCAGGCCTGTGGGAATTCCCACGGCATGGAATTTCCCACAGCAGTGGACGGGTGGCCGGGAAAACTCACAATAAAATACAGTACAGTAAAGCGGCCGTCAAGCTGTTGTTGCCGCTTTCGTTTTCTCGTTTCGCTCTTCCCTCGCGCCACTAAGACGCAAGGGGCGGGCAAATCACGTGCTTCCCAGGCTCAGGGCGGTTTCCCAACCCGGAGCCGGGGCGGGGCTTCTCCTCTGCTCGGGGAGGCTCCGGCCAGCACGCGCCCGGGGGGGGGCGGGGCGGGGGGAAGAGAAGCGTCGAACCAGGAAATTCAAAACTCCGAGCGAGCGCGAGGAGGTGCCGGGAGTCGCCCGGGTCTCGTCCCGCCCCGCCCTCTGGCCGTCCGTGCAAACGCGGGTTCCCCCTGATGGCATTCGCTGCTGCGTCCCAATAAGAACTTCTGTCTCTCGTGGGATTTGCTCGAGCGTGACAAGAGTCGCGGGGGTGGTTTTGTTTTCTTTTATTTCTTTTTGAATGGTCAGTCGGAGGAAAACCCGAACGTGGGTACGTATCTAAAGAACGCTTCTGCTTAATCCTGACCTTTTAAAAAAAAAATCCAACACTTAAATGAATCGTTTGGAAAGTAATAGGGCGCAACTCTGTATAGACTTCGGGTGGGGATGGGACCCCCCCCTCTCCATGTCTCAGAAAATCAGGGGCTGTGGGGGTTTTCTCTCCCCAGCCCCCTCTTTCAGCCTCTCCCGCCCTGCAACAAGGGGCAGGGAAAAAAAAGTTAAGTGTAACGTCCGGCGTTTGTAACGCCTGCAAGAACATGGCGGACGTTTTTGCCCCAAGAAACTCTCCGGGCAGGGCCTTTGAGGATGCTTCGGAAGTCCTGAGGAGCCTCCGGAGTTTTTATTTGCTTTTTAGCTGTTAAACCCTTCTGTGGCGTCCCAGGGCGAAAGGGGGGGGGCAAATTTGGATTCGGGAAGTTGTCGTTCCAAAAAAAGGAACTTTTCAAAAACTCTTCGTTTCTTAGTTCCGGTGCGCCCTAAGTTGTTTCCCAAGCGGCCTTGGACTCCCCGTAAAATGGGAACGGGTCTCCTTGGCTTTCGTTTGTTACTATTGCACCTCATGGGGAAAAAGGAGTTTATTTTATGCCCCTTAAATGGATGCCCACTGTGATATGTAGTGAGTGCGATAAGAATGTTGGACTAGGCCTCGGGTGGGGGGGGGAGACCCGGGTTCGAATCCCCCCTTGGCCATGGAAACTTGGGGTGGCACCCTGGGGGAAAACCACTTCTTACATATCTGGTCTTGAAAGCTTTATTAACAGTTCCTGTAAATCGTTTCCAACTTGATGGCAGGCAACAGGAATAAATTAAAGGCACATACGTTTGATTCCGAGTGAAACTTTTCATTTTGAAATGGGAGGCCTTGTTTTTCTGTGGAGAAAATGCTCAGGAAGAAACAGCCATGTTCTGTTGCAGAGGAAGAGAAAGTTTCAAAGTTGCTTCAGTTTATCAAAATGTTTTTTCTTTCTTTCAATCCTAAATTCTTTCAGCTATTTACATCTGAATACATATTTAATCGTCAGGGTTTTTTTTCTAATTTTTTCCTTTTTCTCTTTATCATAATTAAATAACATCGTTTCAGATTTGTTTATGTATTTACTTAAAATATTTTTACACCCTCTTTCTCCTTAAAAAGGATCCAAGGCAGCTTACATCATTAGAAGGCAATATTTAAAGCTATCAGTAGCAAGTGTACAAGTACTAAAAAGGAAGAAACAAACAGCATGCTAAAAAAACAGAACCAACACCAAAACACATTCAAAGCAGTAGAGGATGCAACAATCCGATAAAAAAAGCCCATTCAGACAGCCAGTCACTCAGGGAAAGCTTGCCAATTTATCTGTAACCCCATTATCTCTCGAAATTCTTTCAAATGTGTTTTAACTCAGTCCATCACCCTAATTGGATTCTCTATTGACAATAAAGTATCATCACCATTTAGATTAATCTTAACTTTTTCATTAAAACCTGTACCACCAATTAGTGTATCTTTTCTAATAACACTCACTAATTCTATAACTAAAGCAAACATTGTCAGGGCTCTTGGCCTAGATGTATCTCTCTGTTCTGTTATTCCTCCCATCACTTACATACTAAAACAGGTGCTTGTGTTCTCTGAACGTAACTGATTTATTACACATTTATCAGTTCTCCAAAACATAGTATGCTTACATTTTAATGTTGGCCATCCCATACAATCAGAAACCTTAAAATTTTCTAATGAGATTATTCCAGCCTCCAGACTTTGTTTTTCTGTAATATTTACATTTGGTACTCTCCTAGTCAAATCTGCTATATATCTGCTTTAAAATTACCTTAATCTACCTTAACATATTTAGCATTATTCTCTTCGCTAGTACTGTATAAGATCTATAAGATCTCAAATGTGTTGGATATTTATTTGTTTTTGGAGTTAGTATACCTAATGAATCTATCTCATCTCCTTCCATTATTTTATTAAAAGGGGAATTTAATTTAGGTATCAACGTTTTCCTAGAAATGTTATAATACTCTGGTTCCAATTCATCTGTTCCAGGGGATCTTTCCGATCTTTAAATTTTTAATAACATCTCTATTCTTCTTTAACAGTCTGTTCCATCACATCCATATCCATGTCTTGAAGCAAGAAATTAAAACAAAATTGGATGATTTAAGGAAGATTGGACTTTAATGGTATGTAAAATGAAGATTTTATTTAAGATTAATTTTTTATTTATGGTGTTAGTGATAAAGACAGTAGAAGAAAAGTTGAGAGACTGGCAAAATATGATTAATAATGGAGGTAAAAAAGCAAGGATTAATAAAATGGTATAAATCGGGGGGGGGTTAGGTATTCCTAATTAAACATTATATAACACAAATAATAAAATAAGATATATTCCAGATATAGCACATCCTAATAATTTATTATGGTTAAGTTTGGAATTGCAGGCAGTTGGTGGGTACTTTGAACATTCTTTTTAAACAAACTAATAAGAGCATTACAGAAAAATGTGAAACCCCTTTTAAAAAAAGAAATGTTATTAATTTAGAATACATATAGGAAATAATTTATTCCATTAATCTCCCCATTATATCCACTTGTAGAATTGGAGAATTTCCCAGAGAAATTGAAATGGAATTTGAAGAATCTATTAGGGAAGAAACAAATTATTAGGTTAAAAAATTGACTGGAAAATATGATTAATAAAGAACAAGTAATAGTGGAATTAGGATCGAAAAAAATATCCTGGTTTAATTTTATTCAGTGAGAACAGTGCACTAAATATTGGGTAAAAATATATAAATGTGAAGATCTTACAAGGTTTAAATAAATAGTGGTACAGAAGGAACAGATAGATGAAAATAATATTTTTATATTGTACAGTATTTGTTTTTGTGTGTTATTAAGATGTTCTTTGTAGTAATGTTCTTTTTTTGTATCTTTCTAGTTTTTAAATACAAAATTAAAAAAAAGTTTAAATGTTGGTGACACCTTAAAAATTCAACATGTTTTCTCTGGCACAGGCTGCCATCGATTGCCGTCCACTAAGCAAGCTGGAAAGGTCATGCCAAATAAAATTTGTGATTTGTTCAGGGTGGTGTCAAGGCTGTTGTTATTTTCTCTATGGTTTTAGATTATGGTTTTATGTCACAGCGCTCTGGGCACCCTCTTAAAAGAAGCTTTCCTTCCCTGTGTGAGAGAAGGGCTGGCTTGATAAGGGGGCACCAGCCCTGCCTCTCTTCAGTTTCAGAAGTATTTTTATACAGTACAGTGGTGCCTCGCTTAACGAGCACACCGTTTAACAACGAATCCGCATAGCGACGAGGTTTTTGCGATCACAAAAGCGATCGCATAACGATGTTTTCAGTGGGTAAACATTGCTTTGCAATGATCAGTAAACGTTTCGCTTACTGATTATCGCATAACGATGTTTTAAAAACAGCTGATTGGCGGCTCCAAAATGGCTGCCCGCAGTGTTTTCGCGCCCTTTCCTCGCTTACTGGGCAGCGAAAATGGCGGCCAGATGGAGGATTTCTGCATAGCGGTGAGTTTTTTCCCCACAGGAACGCATTAAACGTGTTTTAACGGATTCCTATGGGTTTTTTCCCCTGCATAGCGACAAATCCGGATAGCGACGATTTTTTCAGAGCGGATTATCGTGGCTATGCGGGGCACCACTGTGTTTTCAAAGTAGCGTTAAACAAATTGATGTTCAATTAGTGGGGAGTAGGGATGCTTGTAAGTGCTTAAAAGAGATGGGCAGTACTGTCACAAAGTTTGCAAGCCTCACATTTTCTGAAAACTATTTTAGAAAGCAATAGAAATATCGGAAGCCCCATCCATTTTATTGTATAAGCAGCCTGGTCATATTCTGATGTAATCTCCATTAAGTTATTTGCCCCTAAATAAGTGCAGATAAGACTGTTGTGTTGATCTGGAAACGGGAATTTTACTCCGCAGTAATGCTTGGTGTGATATATGGACTTTTCCCATCCAGCACCCAAGTTGGTTCTCTGAAAATGAGTTGTTAGCTCTGGAGAAAGGTAAAGGTGATGACTTTTCTCATGGATGGTGGCATTTTTAATACTTGGGGGCACACTATTATGGCTTAGAATTATTGTCCATGCCCTCACTTCTAAGCTTACTTCAACGTTTTAAGCCCATCCAAGGCCATTATTTTGACAGCAGACCAAATAGCCCTGTGCACAGTTGTCAGTCAGAGGAGTCTTTCACGTAGAGGAGGCGGCGGCTACTGGGTGGGGAACAGGAGTGTAGAGCAGGGAAGAGGTAGAGCATGTACAACTTCATGTGTGTTGTTGAACTACAGGGCCCATCAACCTTAGCCTCTATATCCAAATGGCAAGAAATAACAGGAGTTGCAATCCAACAGTGTTGAGCAGCTACATATTTCTCATCCTGCAGTAGGATAATTATGATCCTTGTATACAACTTACAAGGTTAGGAACACAGGAAGCCCAGTGTTCTCCAGCCGGATTCAGAATGGTTCTCCAAAATTGTAGAGAGGTGGTTCTTCCCAGCCACTACTAGGAGTTCCCTGATATTTTCCTCTCATCCAAGTGCTGGCCAGGCCTGATCTTTAGCACAGTTCCTGAAATCTGATGAGGTCACATATGCTTGGGAAGGAATGGTGGTACATCTGTAGGATAAACAGATCTAATCGGGTTCCTTGTTCCAAAATCATCTTGAAGTATGAGTTTATCTTCAGTGTATTGTAGTTTGGATCAGTAGAGTCCTCTTCCATTCAGCCCACATAGGTCTTGCACGAATGGCAGGAGTGGGTGGCAGGCTCTCTTTTCTCTCTTGAACTTTGATGCTTTCTCCCCCTCCCGCCACCACTTTACAGAGTAGTCACTGGGAGAACAGTATGTCAAGAGAGACAGAGGTTGTTGCGCCAGAATTGAGCCATGGAATTAGTGGAGTTGATGGGGATTCAGTTGAACAAGATACGGAAGGCCACATGTTCCTCGCCCTGTTTTATTTCTTGCTTTCTGACTGGATATTGATGCACAAGAGAACTAACTTTGTTTGCTTGCCAAAGCTTCTTGCTCTCAGAATTAGCTTAGCTTTAGCACCAAGTCTAAAAAACATCCATGCCTTATAATGGCAATTTCTTTCTGCATTAATTTTGTTGCTCAGCTACTTTTGCCACCAGTAAGTGCAATTTGTTGGTCACGAAAACTGAAAAAAAAACCTTAAATTATAATTTAGCATTATGTATGACAGCAGAAAGGGAACCCTTCAGAAGCTTGCTAGACTTCTTTCTGAGAATGGTAACGTTTAGACGAGTAAGAGCAGCGGGAAATCCTAGGCTAATAGTCCAAGCTATCTCAAAAACCATGTGCCCCTTTATGAGCCTGCTGGGGTGATAATATTTATTTAAATGATTTAAATGTTGACGTTCTCCCCTAGGAGGCCCAAGGCAGCTCACAGCAGATAAAATAACAACTTTAAAAACGCTGTATAGATATCACATTTAAAAATCAATTAAACATACATTAAGATTTAACAATAAAAGCAGTTCTGAAACATTAAAAAAACCTGTAAGTTTAATTTAATTTAAATTTAATTTAAATAAATTAAATATTTTTTTAAAAAAAACTAAGTTTAAAAAACAGCCTTTAAAAGCATTTTAAAAGCATTTAAAAACATTTAGAAACCAAGTTTAATATAATTTTAATTTAATTTAAATAAATAAAAATAAAAACCTGTAAGTTTAAAAAACAGCGTTTATGAGATAACTTACTACTTAAAGGCCTGCTTGAATGGAAAGTCATGGAGGAAGGGACCAACTGGTCTTCTCAGGGCAGTGCCTTCGAAAGCCTGGGAGTAGCCACTGAGAAGGTCCTTTCTCTCTCTCAGCCAGTGACGCTGTTGTAATAAGGAAGTTAAGATGCTCCCTATAACCAGCATCAGTCAACAGTCTGGCTGCAGCATTTCGAAACGGCTGAAGTTTCCGGACACTCTTCAAAGGCAGCACCGCATAGATCATCGGGGAGGCCTTTCTCTC